TTTCATCTTCATACTTTTCTACTGGATGGTTAAGACCAAGGTAAAGCAGGACCTGTGCAACAAGAGTTGTAGCTTTTGGATCTGAGAAGGTCAGTGAAATCCCCTCAGGATTTATCCTGAGATCCTGTACCTCAGATTGTAGAATCTTTGTCAGTGTCAGCCATGTAGATGAGTCATGGCCATTACCATCTAGTACGTATTGACTTAGTCCTGTCATGTTGTTTTCCTTTGTTGGCTCCCACTCCCACCCTCATTTTCCTTGTCTGGTAGATTTCTTTTGTTGGGGTTCATGGATTTGTAGTCCTTGTTCTCTCTTCTAGAATGTCCTTTAAAACATTTTGGAGTACTGGTTTGGTGGTCATAAATTTCCTCAGCTTATTTTTGTCATGGAAGTATCTTATTTCTTTGTATGGTTTGAAAGACAGTTTTGTGGGTACCTCAATCTGTGTTGGAGGTTTTTTTTCTTTAGAACTTGAAATATTTCACTTCAAACTCTCCTTGACTTGATTTATGCTCAAACGTCAGCAGTGTTTCTGCTGGTCTTTTCTTTACAGGTTATGTCTTTTCCCAAGCAGCTTTTAAGATTCTGTTCTTGTGTTGAATTTCTGGCATCTTGACTATGATATTCCTGGCTATAGAATATTTTTTTTCCTTTTTGATAGTGGCTAATTGGAGTTCTGTACACATCACTTAATTGTATGTCAAATTCTTTTTCTCCTACCAAGAAAAGTTTTTGCCATCCCTTCTTATGAAGTTTTTAAAATATCATTTGTCATCTCCTGCTTTTTCATTGACTCCAATCAATCTTAAGTTTTTCTTCTTTGCTTTATCTAGCAGCTACAGCATTGGTCTTTCATGGTCCCTTGCTTTGTTAAGAAATCTTTTTTTTTTTTTTTTAATGATTGCTAACATAAGCCTATCTTCTGTATCTGAGATCCTGTCCTCACATTGATTTAATCTACTATGGATGGTTTCAATGGAATTTTTATTTTCCTGAGTATCTGCTTGAGTCTGCCTTATGGGTTCCCTTTCTTTCCTATGTTGAGCATTCATGGCTTCCATACTTAAACTCCTCTTTTTTTTTGTTTGTTTGTTTGTTTGTATCTATCCTAGAATCACTAAACTTGGTTTTCATTATGGATACTATCTCTGCAGTTATATGTGAAATTGTTTGTGATTGGATTTTTTTTTTTTTCCTCCTGGAGCCTCATGCAATTGCTTTGTTGTTTTCCCTTTATAGAAGTCAGATAGGTGGCTTTCAGATTGTTTCACCTCATTGTTTTCTCTGTTTGCCTTTGGTGAACTGGTTATCTGGGCTGCTCCGACTTAAGTGTCTTTTTTTAAGTTTAGTTCTTGGAATGATGCTTGTAAATTGCCTTTTTTGTATTGCTTTATTGCTAATATTTAGAATCCTTAGAAAATGACTACTTTTGAGGTGTTCTTCAGCTGTAGCTGAATTTTGGGTTTTGGGTCTGTTGGATGGTCTCTTCTGTTTGTAGAGGGTGAGAAGTTGCTGCCTGCTTGTCTCAGGCCCTGGTTCTTAATGCACTGTGCCACAGTATTTTCTTTGACTCTTAGTCAATTTCAGTTGTCAAATACTGAGAAGGAGAGCTGTTTATAACAGCCATGTCACTTTTTTGGCTATAGAGGCATGCTCTTCAAAGAAAATAGCATTAAAAAGCCTAGAAAATGAGTTAACTGTAAATTTGCCCACCTTTAACTGTATGACGTAGGTTTTTGGTTATATAATTTCTAAAACCAGAGAATTATATTCAGTATGTAAGTCCTTAATATGTCAGTTTTGTCCCCAGCGTTAAAATTTAAAATGGATCAGTGAGAAAATAGAGAAGTAGAAGAGGAAGAGATTAGAAGTAAGGGTGGAGTACAAACGGAGATCATGCTAACTTTGGGAAACAGGTACAGAAGATTGGCGGGAAAGACAGAAGCAAGAGATAAAAACAACAGAATAGATCCACAACCATAAAAAAGCTAGAAACCATATTCAGACTTACATAAAAACAAGATCAAACAATGAAGGAGTAAAAACCAAAAAACCACTACTACAACAACAAAAGACAAATGAGAGAAAGGAAAGAAAAAAGTCCACTTCCAGGTTTATGTCTGGAACTGCTATTGGTAGATAGTGTTGGATAATCTAGGAGAGCCTGTACCTTCTGGCTAAGGCCAGACTCATTTGTCCAGCTGTCAGCACACCCTCCATGGGCTTGAGCCCACCTGGGAGCTACTAGATGGAGCCAGCAGCCACTTTGAGTTCTGAGCTCAGTCGGCACCTCTTCAAGATGGCTTCTGGGCAGTGACTGTCTTGGGCAGGACTCTGGAGTCCTCAGATCTCACTACCAGCTAGTACAGTCCTTCGTGTCCATGGTTCCTTCCCCTGCTAAGCCTTTCCATGGAGGCCTCTGGGGTTGTCAGCAGTGACTGTGTCTGCAGGTTTCATTTGCTAATCTCATACAGTGCATCACATCTCATGGAGAAGGCATCAGGAGTTCTTCCTTCTGTATTGAAGTTTTTCTCTTCAATCTGTCTGTGGGCTTTGCTTCACATGTCAGATTTTTCATGGATACAGGGAACCGATTTCCTCCTTCTCTTCCTCACATTGCTGTAGTCTAGCTCCTGGACAGTGACTCTCAAAGAGGCTCTTTCTCTGCTGCTTACCACTCTACCATCTTGGTGTTCCCTCCCACACATTAATTCTTGATTTCATGTATTTTACTGGCTTTCTCTTTATGGTAAAATCCAGTGATTTTCTGTTTTTAAACCATCAACAGTAATTATTACAGCATTTACTTGTAGTAGCAAAAAACTGCAACAACCAGAACCTCCGATAGAAAGATAGGTAAATGTGTTTATTTTCTTAATGGATTGGAAGGGTAATAACTAAACGTTCATGTAGTTTGCCTTTGGGTGATTGGCTAGATTATGAACTTTCTAATCCTTCTCTTCTTTGGATAATGAAGATATGTTATCTGAAAAATAAGAATAGTTGGCCAGCTAATAGTAATGAATCATTAATTTGTGTAGTCCAGATGTTTACTATAGTAGTCCCTCGCTATTTCACAGTTTGACTTTCATGAACTCACTGTTTTGTGGGTTTTCAAAAAATACTAATCACTATATCGCAGGATTTTGCAGTACTGTACAGTATATGTATGTTGTTAAAATTATATAGGTTTATAAGTTTAGAAAATGGTTAAGAACATTAGAAGTGTTT